AACAGCTTACAGGAGGAGGAGCGACAGCTCATGCTCCCCCTCGCTGGAGCTCAGCTCTCCTCAAATGGCTCTGCAGCGAGCACCCTCTCGCTGGAGCGGCGCTTCCCTCTCTTCCTCGTCCTTTGCCAAGCCTCTTTTGCTCCAGTAGAGCCGCGCGCGCCTGTGGAAGGCCTGCCCACCCGTCGCTAGAAGAGCCCGTTCTGACGCCGAAAACTACTCGAAAGGTCCCCCCTCAAAGCGGTTTGACCAGGTGAAGGAACACGCAAAGAGAGCCCCCGGTGGCTTTTGTCCGCCGAGCGAGTGTGCCCTGTGGAATGTCAGAATTTTATTTTTACCGGCCTGCCGCTGTTACTGACGGAACAAATGCAGACCGTGTGAAAGGTCATCATTTTATCTGCCATTAAGTAAGCGAACGCTTCGGCTCGGATCAGAGGTAACTTTGTTTCAAGAACTGCAATCTTTTGCAGACGTCTGTGGCGTTTTGGGCAGAGGGACGGTTCTAAACCAATCTGAACCAGAGGCAATTTCGCAGCCAGCCGTCGGTGGTTTCCCGTCCCAGGAATGTAAGGTGCTTGCAGCGGGAGGTTGTTTCGTTAGCGCTTCCGCTTTCGTCAGTGAAGTTCTTTTGCGGAACGTTTGTAGATCCCGTCGTCTTCTTCAAGCTATGTCGTTTGAGCACTGTGCTGATAGGCTGACGTAAGAAAACAGGACACAAAACATACAAGGCAAGAGTGCAAAGCACGAAGCTCTAGGCAAAGGCGGTCCAAACCGCAGCAAAGCAGGAGGTCGACATGTCCAAATAGACCAAATCAGAAACTAAGCAGAGAAAAACGGCATCTGTAGAGAAAGAAAACAGATGGAGGAAAAGAAAGAAAGAACAGGAGGATCCCCTCCCCTCCCCCCATAGAGGGTCTGTTATGCCCAGATCGAGTGCGTCCGGTGGAATCCATGTGTTGGCAGCCTCAACTGATGACAAAACACAAAGCAAGCATCTGGAGGAAGCTCAAACTCTTCATGCGTTGCCACAGTTACTAGCGAGTGGTTTGCAGGCACAGGCACGTCTGCTGCAAGTACAGCGCCGTCAGGAGACAGGGGTTGCTGGCCCATTCCCCATGCTCGGTGGCTGGGCATCACCGCCCTGGAGTACGGCCGATAGAAAACGGCGGCTGCCATTTGCGCCGCCGGCAACTCATACTTACCTGGCAGGGGAGATACCATGATCAAGAAGGTGGTTCACCCAGGGCGAGGCTTGGCCATTGCACTCCGGCCACGCTGACCCCTGCGAATTCCCCAAATGTGGGAATCTAGACTGCATAATTTCTGGTAGTGGGGGACTGCGTTTGCGCTCTTCCCTGAGCACAGTGGTTCAAGACAGAGTTCAGGCGGTAGCGTCGGACCCGGCTGGAGCCAAGTGGTGCTCGCTGCAGAGCCATTTGAGGAGAGCTGAGCTCCAGCGAGGGGGAGCTTAAGCTTGAGCTCCACCTTTTTTGCACTTCTTCTACGAGCGATGTCACTGGGGGTAGGGTTAGGGGCGGGGTTGGTGTACGCATTAAAACAGCTTACAGGAGGAGGAGCGACAGCTCATGCTCCCCCTCGCTGGAGCTCAGCTCTCCTCAAATGGCTCTGCAGCGAGCACCCTCTCGCTGGAGCGGCGCTTCCCTCTCTTCCTCGTCCTTTGCCAAGCCTCTTTTGCTCCAGTAGAGCCGCGCGCGCCTGTGGAAGGCCTGCCCACCCGTCGCTAGAAGAGCCCGTTCTGACGCCGAAAACTACTCGAAAGGTCCCCCCTCAAAGCGGTTTGACCAGGTGAAGGAACACGCAAAGAGAGCCCCCGGTGGCTTTTGTCCGCCGAGCGAGTGTGCCCTGTGGAATGTCAGAATTTTATTTTTACCGGCCTGCCGCTGTTACTGACGGAACGAATGCAGACCGTGTGAAAGGTCATCATTTTATCTGCCATTAAGTAAGCGAACGCTTCGGCTCGGATCAGAGGTAACTTTGTTTCAAGAACTGCAATCTTTTGCAGACGTCTGTGGCGTTTTGGGCAGAGGGACGGTTCTAAACCAATCTGAACCAGAGGCAATTTCGCAGCCAGCCGTCGGTGGTTTCCCGTCCCAGGAATGTAAGGTGCTTGCAGCGGGAGGTTGTTTCGTTAGCGCTTCCGCTTTCGTCAGTGAAGTTCTTTTGCGGAACGTTTGTAGATCCCGTCGTCTTCTTCAAGCTATGTCGTTTGAGCACTGTGCTGATAGGCTGACGTAAGAAAACAGGACACAAAACATACAAGGCAAGAGTGCAAAGCACGGAGCTCTAGGCAAAGGCGGTCCGAACCGCAGCAAAGCAGGAGGTCGACATGTCCAAATAGACCAAATCAGAAACTAAGCAGAGAAAAACGGCATCTGTAGAGAAAGAAAACAGATGGAGGAAAAGAAAGAAAGAACAGGAGGATCCCCTCCCCTCCCCCCATAGAGGGTCTGTTATGCCCAGATCGAGTGCGTCCGGTGGAATCCATGTGTTGGCAGCCTCAACTGATGACAAAACACAAAGCAAGCATCTGGAGGAAGCTCAAACTCTTCATGCGTTGCCACAGTTACTAGCGAGTGGTTTGCAGGCACAGGCACGTCTGCTGCAAGTACAGCGCCGTCAGGAGACAGGGGTTGCTGGCCCATTCCCCATGCTCGGTGGCTGGGCATCACCGCCCTGGAGTACGGCCGATAGAAAACGGCGGCTGCCATTTGCGCCGCCGGCAACTCATACTTACCTGGCAGGGGAGATACCATGATCAAGAAGGTGGTTCACCCAGGGCGAGGCTTGGCCATTGCACTCCGGCCACGCTGACCCCTGCGAATTCCCCAAATGTGGGAATCTAGACTGCATAATTTCTGGTAGTGGGGGACTGCGTTCGCGCTCTCCCCTGAGCACAGTGGTTCAAGACAGAGTTCAGGCGGTAGCGTCGGACCCGGCTGGAGCCAAGTGGTGCTCGCTGCAGAGCCATTTGAGGAGAGCTGAGCTCCAGCGAGGGGGAGCTTAAGCTTGAGCTCCACCTTTTTTGCACTTCTTCTACGAGCGATGTCACTGGGGGTAGGGTTAGGGGCGGGGTTGGTGTACGCATTAAAACAGCTTACAGGAGGAGGAGCGACAGCTCATGCTCCCCCTCGCTGGAGCTCAGCTCTCCTCAAATGGCTCTGCAGCGAGCACCCTCTCGCTGGAGCGGCGCTTCCCTCTCTTCCTCGTCCTTTGCCAAGCCTCTTTTGCTCCAGTAGAGCCGCGCGCGCCTGTGGAAGGCCTGCCCACCCGTCGCTAGAAGAGCCCGTTCTGACGCCGAAAACTACTCGAAAGGTCCCCCCTCAAAGCGGTTTGACCAGGTGAAGGAACACGCAAAGAGAGCCCCCGGTGGCTTTTGTCCGCCGAGCGAGTGTGCCCTGTGGAATGTCAGAATTTTATTTTTACCGGCCTGCCGCTGTTACTGACGGAACGAATGCAGACCGTGTGAAAGGTCATCATTTTATCTGCCATTAAGTAAGCGAACGCTTCGGCTCGGATCAGAGGTAACTTTGTTTCAAGAACTGCAATCTTTTGCAGACGTCTGTGGCGTTTTGGGCAGAGGGACGGTTCTAAACCAATCTGAACCAGAGGCAATTTCGCAGCCAGCCGTCGGTGGTTTCCCGTCCCAGGAATGTAAGGTGCTTGCAGCGGGAGGTTGTTTCGTTAGCGCTTCCGCTTTCGTCAGTGAAGTTCTTTTGCGGAACGTTTGTAGATCCCGTCGTCTTCTTCAAGCTATGTCGTTTGAGCACTGTGCTGATAGGCTGACGTAAGAAAACAGGACACAAAACATACAAGGCAAGAGTGCAAAGCACGGAGCTCTAGGCAAAGGCGGTCCGAACCGCAGCAAAGCAGGAGGTCGACATGTCCAAATAGACCAAATCAGAAACTAAGCAGAGAAAAACGGCATCTGTAGAGAAAGAAAACAGATGGAGGAAAAGAAAGAAAGAACAGGAGGATCCCCTCCCCTCCCCCCATAGAGGGTCTGTTATGCCCAGATCGAGTGCGTCTGGTGGAATCCATGTGTTGGCAGCCCCAACTGATGACAAAACACAAAGCAAGCATCTGGAGGAAGCTCAAACTCTTCATGCGTTGCCACAGTTACTAGCGAGTGGTTTGCAGGCACAGGCACGTCTGCTGCAAGTACAGCGCCGTCAGGAGACAGGGGTTGCTGGCCCATTCCCCATGCTCGGTGGCTGGGCATCACCGCCCTGGAGTACGGCCGATAGAAAACGGCGGCTGCCATTTGGAGAAGCCCCTGTCTGCAGCCCGCAGATTGGGGCGGGGCTGAATATGGGGCGGGGCTGCATATGCAGTCCCGCCCATAAGAAATAATGGGCGGGGCTGAACATGCCGCTCCGCCTATTCAGTTGACGTAACGTATGCTTTCATTTCCGGTTTTCATCGCATGGTGAGTACACGACTTATGTTAATACACGTTACAAGCTACGTATTATGTGTAATTATTTAATTTAAATCCTTTATTCATGTGATGTTAAGTTTTAAAGCCTTGTAAAAAACGAATGGTTGCTGTGTTAGTTGGCGTTTTCCAGGTAGATCGTATTGAGGTAAAGTTGGTTTTATGTTTGCATATTCGGACGTCCTCTTTAATAATATAACTTAATTTCAGAAAAATATTATTTACAAATTCTAAATCGGGAAGTCTTATTAACAGCCACCGGCTATCAAAGTAGCCTACACCATTGTTCACGGTCAATTAAACAGTGCTAATGTTGTTTTCAAGTTGTACTCACTTGTCATTTCAGCCGACCCCGCAATCATACAGGCCAAAGAAAAAGAAGAAGACTAACTTGTTATTTCATACAGAATATTCAAAACAGCGTGGCAAACAATATAAGGACTGTGTCATCAGTTGTAGCTAAACGAATGTGCGAATATAAAATCAGCTTTACCTCAGTTTGGTAAATGCAGTCCATCACATATGAAATTTATTGATATCAAAGAAATGATATGAACAAAATATAAATTTGTTTGGGATTCCTTCTATGAATTAAATCCATTCAATGGATTGTTCTCTAATTTACATATGTTACTCTGATAATGTTACTGCTAAATATGTGCAATATAAAACGTTTGATTCCTAACCTATTGATCTGTGCTACCTTCTGTTTGCAGATCCCTGTCATTGATATTTTCGTCCTTACAATTCTTGTGGAGTACTTTTTTTTACTTCAGTACTTTCTCTCTTTTTGTTTTGATTTATTTATTTATTTTGCTGTTAATTATTTTTTACATTTGTTTACAACTTTTTATTTGTATTTTCTTTTATCCTTACTTCATAACCCAACGGCTCTTTTAAGAGCCATTTCCCCTTGCAAATATGCATAAAACCGTGCTATGCAAGGACGAATGCGAGCAGTATTTAAAAAACTGCAGTGACAAGTGCCCATTCTGCTCATACACTAGTATGCCACAAATAATGCTTTATCACATAAAAAATCACTTACAGAGGGCAGTACAACATCATGGTGAGTTTAAAGGTTTTGCTTTCATCACTTTAGTTTAATTTGATGTCAAACTAGCCAATATTGCAAAGTGTATTTTCGTGTGCATTTTTATTTGTAATCATTATTATTTTTATGTTGAGGCTCAGGCAAACTTTATTTTCTACGTAACGTGAACCATCATGCTTCATAAATCTTGGGTCTTTGTTGCTCAAATAATAAAAAATGTGCTTGTCATTCAACTGTCCAAAGGCCAGAGTGAGACGCAAGTAAGGTTTATTGTATGCAATTTAAAAAATATGTTTGTTTTTTTTTCTATTTCAGATTTTACCATTGTAAAATGTGGTTTAAAATGTAGAAAAAAATCCCACTTTCACTGCTGCTATTGTTCAGTGATTGTGTTAACTCAGGAAAATATACTAAACCACATTGCCAGACAGCATGCCTTTTCAACCCATCCTCAGACATCAGCTGTGCTGCAGACCAAGCCTGGGTCATCATCTGTCCAGGATTCACAACCTCAGTCATCGTCTACCCAGCAGACACAGCCACAGGTGACCTCTGCCATGCAGGCACAGCCTCAGTCATCTGCCCAGCAGACACAGCCCCAGGTGACATCCGTCAGGCAGGCACAGCCTCAGTCATCTGCCCAGCAGACACAGCCCCAGATGACATCCGTCAGGCAGGCACAGCCTCAGTCATCTGCCCAGCAGACACAGCCCCAGATGACATCCGTCAGGCAGGCACAGCCTCAGTCATCTGCCCAGCAGACACAGCCCCAGATGACATCCGTCAGGCAGGCACAGCCTCAGTCATCTGCCCAGCAGACACAGCCCCAGATGACATCCGTCAGGCAGGCACAGCCTCAGTCATCTGCCCAGCAGACACAGCCCCAGATGACATCCGTCAGGCAGGCACAGCCTCAGTCATCTGCCCAGCAGACACAGCCCCAGATGACATCCGTCAGGCAGGCACAGCCTCAGTCATCTGCCCAGCAGACACAGCCCCAGGTGACATCCGTCAAGCAGAAACAGGCTCAGTCACCTTCTGTCCACCCTTTGCAGTCACTCCCAAAATTGTCAGCAAAGAAGACTGCCACTTGCAGCCAATGTAATGTAACACTTCTGGCCAAAAATCTACGAACTCACATTCAAAGACAACATACTGACAGAGTAAATGCAATGACTCCTGAGAAGCACTTGAGATCTCAGTGCATCGATGGAAAAATTGGCATTTTTGCTGTTGAAAAGGCATTTCATGGTCAAGCAATACCCATACATGTAATAAAAAATACATGGGGCCCAAACTTTCGTTCAGCATGTGAACTTGACCAGTGCATTTCAAATGCTGAATACGCACACATAACTGGGATCTTACCATTTGAGTGCTGCCATGTACAGTCATTGTGTTTTTGTAAACAAATTGAAGAATCCAATTTTGCACTGACAGAAAACAGTCTCTCTCAGCTGGTGCAGGAAAAGTGGTTTGGTGAAGCAAGGAAAATCCAACTGTTAAAGTTGCAGCGGGAAGCAAATGTTGCGGAGACACCTTTGTCTTTCCATGTCACAGTTGGAAGTTCATCAACAAAATGTTTCATTTCTGTGTTTGAACCAACAGTGTCCTATTACAGTAGAATGGGAAGGGTCATGGTGACTTATGATAAAAAGAAAAATAACTGGCATTGTCCTTGTGCCAAGCCTCGTCAATCCTGTATTCACAAAGCCACAGCAAAGTGGCATCTTTTCCAGACAATACCACAGCTCTTCAAAAGACTTAAGTGTTCAGAAGTTTCCAACACTGTTCATGAAGATGATGATGCCTGCTGTCATGATTCATATCCCCCTAACTCTGCTACAGTCAAAAAAATGATGGAAGACATGCTTGAACATAAGAAAATTCCAGTGAAACTCCAACAAGACATCCTGCAAAAATCAAAGCATGCTTTTCCAAAACATCTTGTGCCTGAGGAGGTTGAATGCAGACTATGCAAGGGAGTTTTGAGTGACCCTGTTTTGATAACTTGTCGGGCAAAGATAGTCTCATTCAATGGACTGATTCAGGGTATGGCAGTTTTATTGTTTCAATAGATACTGTAATGTGACTTGCATTTATTTAGAATTTTTCTTTATCAGTTTACAAATATATATAAATCTGTTCAAATCTTTTTTTTTTTTCAGGTGTGTCAACCTACTACAAGTTGTGCCATAAATGCAATCACATATACAGATACCAAGAATGGCAAGATGGTTTGCACAACTTCAATGATCATGTAATCCTCACCCTACACTTATGTTTGGTTTTGAGAAATTCTCTACAGGTACAATATCAGCAATAATGCCTGCTTTTTCACTATAACTTGTTCTTTAACAAAAATTCTAATAATAGAAATGTTGATGAGGGCTTTTATTATATATTTATTTAACCATGCATGCTTGCATATATATGCTTCTTCTTTTCAGAATCACACAGCTGTTGGTAGGGTTGTGCGAATAATTGAAGCCACAGAGGGAGAGTCCTTGCCTAAAGGTGACCTAATCATGCAGGCGTATCTGCACTTTGAAGCTTTGTGTGATTTGGACTACATGTACTCCTGTGTGTCCTGTGGATACAGTCCAAGTACTGTGATTATGGACCTTCATAAAAAAGGAGTGTTTAGCATCCCAGGTAAACGCTGGTTTCAGTTGGAGTTGTTTTGTTGCTTTTTTTAATTCATAATTCACATATTTTGATTTGTTCCTTAACAGTGAGTGAAATTCCATCTCCACCTCTGGATTATGATGGTCATGTTGACATAGAGCAATTTTGGAATGCAGTGGCAATGGATGTGATAAGCAGAGGGTTTTACCCAAGTAAGTTTTGATTTGTTTTGGTATGCAAATATTACTGCATGATAGAATGAAGATTGGTATCATGATATGTCCTTTTGCAGTGTTTTCTAAACGCCCACACACTATAGTTTTCTGTCATTTTTCTTTTCTAACAGATTTATTATAGTGTAGGAATTAGCAGTATTTAAACTAAAAAAACTAAACCAAAAACTGAAATTGTAGTTATTTTATTTTTTAGTGTAGTGCAATGTAGTGGTCTTAAATTCATATAATAGAAGAACTGCCCACTAAGATATCAGCTTTTTAATTTTAGCTGTATGTTTAGTGTTGATGCATTAAATAGTTTTTTTTTCTCAAGGTGGCAAAGAAAACCCATTTAAAATTTCACCGAGTTACCACTACTGGTCCCCGTGGATAGGTCCAAAAACAAGGGGATCAACCATGGTTTTAAACACCGAGAATGCAAAAGTGCATTCTCTAGATGGAGGGATTGACATGGATGTGCCCCTTACTGAGGAAAGACTTGGAGATGAGCTTCTCCACCTCAAGGTAGATTTTTGTTTAAATTGTTATGGAAGTGTTTTAGTTTTTCCAAATAAAGCCAATATTAGTAGGCTGCAAATTAATTAGTAAAAATGTCACTCTACTATTTTAAAGTACTTTTTAATTCATTTATTTTTTGCTGAACTTACTCTCAAATTTGCTTATGATTAGATTGCAGATTTGAAAAAGCTGTGTCGACAGTGTGGGGTTGATAATGTTGGTTCCAAAATGGATCTCGTCCTCAGACTTCGTGATAAAATGTCGAATAGAGTGACATACAACAAGGTGTTTGAAAAGATTTGGGGTGCTTCAGGTGAGTTACGACGTATGTAAGTGCATGTATGTGTACTGTATATGTATATATGCCCACATGTGTACAGTATATGTTAAACATTTGAAGTGGATCAAAGTTTTTTAAATTATCCTAATATATGAAAGGTTGCTGCTCAATAGTTTTAGGATAATTTATGAAAGGTTTTTGATCCACGTTAAAATGTACTATATTATTGTTGAAATGTTTTATTTAGTGTTTCAATAATTTAGTTAATTTTTTATTTTCTGTGTTTATAGGTGGTGTGGGTGTAATCATGTGTCCATGTGGGATTGTTTACTCAATCAAATTTAACCTCAGAGCTGAGAGTCCACGTGATTTCACAGACCTTCTGTTGTCATGGAAAAATATTCCTAATGTCACAATCTATGATTACCCTCGAGGCTTAGTTGCACACACAAATAAAAGGCAACAAGAATGTCCACCTTTCCACCCATTTGAGGGCAGAGTGCAAGACCCCACCACTGAAAACATTAAACAAGCAAAAGAAGGAAAACTAAAAGTTCACCTTCCTTGGCTGGCACACAAAAAAAACCCTGCAGATCCTGACTGCCACCCTGTGACCGGTTCCTCCGACCACTACTGTTTGTGTGACGTTTTCCATCAAAGCAATAGTAGGGACGAAAGAGATGTGCTCCGCACTATTGGTCTTGTGCCAGAGCTGGCTGGAAAAGTTAATAGCCAGCGTGCAGAGCAGCTTTTTTCAGAAGTAAAGAAAAACAACTACTTTATGAATATGTTAAGACCAGCAGCACATATTTTTCTGGCACGAAATATTCTCCACCACCGGAATCTTGCACATAACCAAAAGAAAATGGAACATTTTAATAAATTGTTCCATGGCAACCGTACTTTGGAATCTAATTTTATTGGTAAGGTCATATTTTTTTTAAATATTCTTCATACTTGTGTAAATATTTTATTAAAGTTTTAATGACTACCTCATAGGGCCACATAGTTCACAGCATTTAACCTTTTTTTTATTATTATTTTTGTTTGTCTTAGCCCACAGATTCACGGACAAGCACGTGTTTTCTGACTTGGAGATTGTACCTGATCATGAGCCAGTGTTCAAACAGGCACCAAAGGATTTTGGTAAAAAATGGTTGTTTCTCTGTTTTTCTCCTTATTCTTCCTTCTCGTTCTTTCTCCTTTGTTGCCCTCCTTCTTCCACTTGTTGTTGTAAGAGTATTACCTTTTATACATAATGCATCAACTGTTTTTCAATCTAAAGGCACACCTCCACCCTCGGTTAAGACTGATAAGAGATCCTTAGTGAACCAACACAACAACTGTAAGAATTTAAATTGTTTATATTTTTTCTTTCATATTGGTTGTCATTTTAAATGGGGTGTTGTTGCTAATTATTTAAATTTTATATATTTTGTAGTGCCTGTTCAAACTTCCATTGGGAGTATTTTCACTCTGGAATGTGTGCAGCCAAACAAGGCATGCTGGACACAGCCACTCAGTCCAGTCCAGCTGGAGAAGGTTAGATTTATATATCATGACACATGTTAATTCATTAGACGATCATTAAAAATACTTCAACTAAAATGCATAAAGATGAACAGTGAGAAAGATATTGTATTGCAGTATATTATAGTATGTTCTTTTCATAGTTAAACCATGCCTTACTGGAGAGAGGGCCAAAAGATGAATTCCTAGCATCTGTTGGAGGAACAGTCCTCACAAGGTTGGATTTCCAAACATTGGGACTACTTCAAGATGTAGAGGCGACAGTAAGATTTTGCAAACACATTTTGGTAAATTAATACCTTAACACAAGTAGTAGAATAAATTTATCCTTGAATGATTACAGATTTTGAATGCTTGCCTTTCTGTAATAAAGGATGTTGCTGGCCTTCAGGTAATGCAAAAAATGACCTAGACCAAAAAGCTCTTTATTTAATGTAAAGGATTGTATCTGCTTATTTAATTGTATTTTAATTTATTTTCACTTAACAGGGTATAACAGTCCATGTGTTCAGTCCATATGTGACAGTGACTTGGTTGCCTCCAATGTGTGGTGACCCACTGTCTAATGTTCCTGTGAGTGTTATTGTGTGATTTGTTACTGAGGCAGTGTAGAATAAGTCATTTAGTGTTTGTGTTGTAAATACTACATTTCTTAAAAAATTCTTATGATTTTGTTTAAGGAAAACCTGGCAAGTCATGACATCATTTTACTACCTTCTTGGACGAGCAATCACTGGATGATCTGTGTATGTGTCAATATAATACATAATGTCAAGTAAATAAATAGAAAATATAAAACTCTTCCACTTATTTTAGATATAAAACCTGAAAAGTAAGGATTCAGTTCATGAAATGTAATGTTAAAGTTGCACTGTCATAGATCATGAAGCCAAAAAAAAGGGAGATCTATTGGCTTGATTCCCTCTCTGGACGAGGCTTCAGTGATACACGCTACTTGAGCAGTTACAGGTTTATGAGTGAAAAGTTCAGAGTTCGGGATAATGGTAGTTCTGTTTTAAACCACATATCCCCGTTTTTGTTTATTTTTGTTCACTTTTTTCCTCTTTGTTCAGATTTATCTATCTTTATATGTTCATTGATGTTCTTTTAATCAGTCCCATCTGAATGTCTGACGGACTGTAGGCCCTGTGATGTAAGAGCTTTCAATTTAAATGTTTAATGTTTTGTATGTTTGTTTCTTTTAATATTGTTCTCTACAGAAAACTAGCACAGCATGTATGTTCAGACACATGGGATGAGTACAGTGCTGATGAAATTCCAGTAAGATTCACCCATAAACATTGTTCCTTAACTACTGTTAATGTTTTGTTTTCACTTTATTTTGTCTTTTTTTTTTTTTTTTTTTACTAATTGTTGTTGTTAATGGTGGGGTTCTTTTTGTTTTTTTTGTATTACCAGGGCATTCCCAAACAACACTGCTCAAATAACTGTGGAGTGTTTGTGTTGATGGTAAGTAATAAAAAAAAAAGTTTATTTAAAAACTTATTTAATGTTTGCATATGCTGTTTTGTTGCTTGGAATAATTACAAAACAAATATGCTATTTTAGTATGCAACTGTACATCTGCTCTAATGTGCTGTTTATTTATGTTGTAGTATGCTCTATACATTGTGATGGAGGGGCATTTTGATTTTGATGAGGTAAACTTTGTTTTCTAGGGTTTTTTTGTTGTTAATATTACTTGGCATTAGTTTATCTGTTCTTTATTTTCCAGTCTGACATGCAAGTGCTAAGACACTGGTGGTGCATAGTTTTGCTGACAAACTACCCCTTGAAGTAAGTTAGGTCTCTTGAATGTAAAATGTTTTCAGTTTATCAGTGAACCTTTAGCCTAGCAATTTTACATAAAACTTAAAAAAAAAATTTGAATAAAAAATGCATAACATTTTTACATTAATCTTAGTTTTTTTTTTTTAAACATTTTTAGGTCAGATGCTGAAAGAAAAAGCCTCAGAAAAAGAATGAGAACGCAGAGAGCAGGTATGGTTTACACTGGTATTTTTAATGGTACAATCAGCAGAAATATGTTTCTAAATTTTTTTTATTATTGTTCATTTAGAGGCAATCGACCCCGTCCCAGCTGACGATTATCTGACCACGGTATGCCTTGTAGAAACATCTTTAACTCTGAGTTTTATTTTAATATACATATGTTAAGCGGCAATTTGGCGATATTGTCGGCTATTTTTGTACAGATGCCTCCTGAGATCCTGCGGCAAATCCTTTTGAAGGTCATCACAGAGGATGGTGATGTGGCTTTCCTGCGCCTCTCCTTGACGTGCAGGATCTTCAAAAAAATAGTTAGCAATGCTAAATTCAGGGAGCAGGCTCACTACATCTGGCTGGACAGTAAGTTATTTATAAACAAATCTTTATAAATAGTGACTAAGGAAAGTGCTTGGCATATTCCATATTTGTTTCTATTCATCTCTGTCCGTCTGTCTGTCTGTGTGTACACATGATAAAGAATATAGAGTATGCCAAACACTTTTAACAGTACTGTATTATTAGTAAAACTTTGAATTATGTTTGTGTCTTGCTAAATGTACTTGATTTTTATTCAGGTGTCATCAACTGGAGTAGGTTTTCTGAGGACTACAAAAAAGAGTTCAGAGTGCCATATTCCTTGACTGAATGCCCTGAATGTGGGGACATTTTTAAAGACTGCCCACCTGGGTATGTTGGGGATGGCAGGAAGGGAGTCCTGCGAGGATTCTACTCCACCATCGACTTCCCAGGATACTGCTCAGCAGAGTGCCACTTTAATGCTGGAGGGGAATTCCCCTATGAAAATATTTAACTGTTTTTGTTTATTAAAGACAATCAAAAAACTGCTGTATCTTAAATTATTATTATTTTCTTGGTAACTTGTCAGTCTTACTGCTGTACATCTGTACACACACACACACACACACACACACACACACACACACACACACATATATATTAAGCAGCACTAATCATAGTTCAATCGTGGTATTTGTAGAAAAATTAAATGTGGCCAAAAAACTATTATCACCAGTACTTCTGCAAAAGTAAAACTAGTTAATTTCTGTAAATGTAATCTTTCAGGAATCCTTTTTAAGAAGGAATATTTTTGCAGGAAAAATACTAATGAAATTCACCTAACTGTTTTCTTTATCTATAAAATTCATGATTTGATAATATTTTTAATTAACATTGAGACATTTAGCAGGAATAAACCGCTTTTGTGTATTTTATTAACAATAAAACAATTTTCGAGAAGTTGTAAATGCATTTCCTGTTTACTGACACGACGTAGTGGCATCGACGTTATTACGTCTCTAGTAACCAATGAAATTACAGGTGGGCGGGAGTGCATGTGCAGCCCCGCCCCAATCTCCACTAACCAATAAAATTACTGGTGGGCGGGACTGCATGTGCAGCCCCGCCCCATATGCAGCCCCGCCCCAATCTGCGGGCTGCAGATGGGTGTACTTGGCCATTTGCGCCGCCCGGCAACTCATACTTACCTGGCAGGGGAGATACCATGATCAAGAAGGTGGTTCACCCAGGGCGAGGCTTGGCCATTGCACTCCGGCCACGCTGACCCCTGCGAAGCCTTTGCCAAGCCTCTTTTGCTCCAGTAGAGCTGCGCGCGCCTGTGGAAGGCCTGCCCACCCGTCGCTGGAAGAGTCTGTTCTGACGCCGAAATCAGAACCAAACCAGACCAAATCAGAAACTATGCAGAGAAAAACGGCATCTGTAGAGATAGAAAACAGATGGAGGAAAAGAAAGAAAGAACAGGAGGATCCCCTCCCCCCATAGAGGGTCTGTTATCCCCAGATCGAGTGCGTCCAGTGGAATCCATGTGTTGGCAGCCCCAACTGATGACAAAACACAAAGCAAGCATCTGGAGGAAGCTCAAACTCTTCATGCGTTGCCACAGTTACTAGCGAGTGGTTTGCAAGTACAGGCACGTCTGCTGCAAGTACAGCGCCGTCAGGAGACAGGGGTTGCTGGCCCATTCCCCATGCTCGGTGGCTGGGCATCACCGCCCTGGAGTACGGCCGATAGAAAACGGCGTACTCATACTTACCTGGCAGGGGAGATACCATGATCAAGAAGGTGGTTCACCCAGGGCGAGGCTTGGCCATTGCACTCCGGCCACGCTGACCCCTGCGAATTCCCCAAATGTGGGAATCTCGACTGCATAATTTCTGGTAGTGGGGGATTGCGTTCGCGCTCTCCCCTGAGCACAGTGGTTCAAGACAGAGTTCAGGCGGTAGCGTCGGGCCCGGCTGGAGCGGCGCTTCCCTCTCTTCCTCGTCCTTTGCCAAGCCTCTTTTGCTCCAGTAGAGCTGCGCGCGCCTGTGGAAGGCCTGCCCACCCGTCGCTGGAAGAGTCTGTTCTGACGCCGAAAACTACTCGAAAGGTCCCCCCTCAAAGTGGTTTGACCAGGTGAAGGAACACGCAAAGAGAGCCCCCGGTGGCTTTTGTCCGCCAAGCGAGTGTGCCCTGTGGAATGTCAGGATTTTATTTGCCGGCCTGCCGCTGTTACTGACGGAACGAATGCAGACCGTGTGAAAGGTCATCATTTTATCTGCCATTAAGTAAGCGAACGCTTCTGCTCGGATCAGAGGTAACTTTGTTTCAAGAACTGCAATCTTTTGCAGACGTCTGTGGCGTTTTAGGCAGAGGGACGGTTCTAAACCAATCTGAACCAGAGGCAATTTCGCAGCCAGCCGTCGGTGGTTTCCCGTCCCAGGAATGTAAGGTGCTTGCAGCGAGAGGTTGTTTCGTTAGCGCTTCCGCTTTCGTCAGTGAAGTTCTTTTGCGGAAATGAAAGCTTTAGCGAAGGTTCTACCAGGAAGACTGAGATGTCACGTCATTCATAATAATTATCTCGTCAGCCTATAACAACCAAGCAAGCCATGTATAAAAGCTCATCTAAACAATCTGTTTCGCTGTATTCAGGTGACGTTGCGGAAGTTTCCCTCCATCCTCCCCATCACCACCACCACCAGGTTGGCCTCGTCTCCACTCAGGGGGTTGGCTTCGCCCTGCCTTCATCTTCAGGCAGGATCTGCCAGCTCATCCAGAGTTCTGCACTATAGACGGGGCTTACGCCAAAGAACTTTATGAAAGGACCGTAACGAACTCTCATTCATGCAAACAATTCACAATAAATGTTCAAACGATTATCTGCCTCCTAGAGTCTTTCTGGTAGAACATTTGTAGATCCCGTCGTGTTCTTCAAGCTATGTCGTTTGAGCACTGTGCTGATAGGCTGACGTAAGAAAACAGGACACAAAATATACAAGGCAAGAGTGCAAAGCACGGAGCTCTAGGCAAAGGCGGTCCGAACCGCAGCAAAGCAGGAGGTCGACATGTCCAAATAGACCAAATCAGAAACTAAGCAGAGAAAAACGACATCTGTAGAGAAAGAAAACAGATGGAGGAAAAGAAAGAAAGAACAAGAGGATCCCCTCCCCTCCCCCCATAGAGGGTCTGTTATCCCCAGATCGAGTGCGTCCAGTGGAATCCATGTGTTGGCAGCCCCAACTGATGACAAAACACAAAGCAAGCATCTGGAGGAAGCTCAAACTCTTCATGCGTTGCCACAGTTACTAGCGAGTGGTTTGCAAGCACAGGCACGTCTGCTGCAAGTACAGCGCCGTCAGGAGACAGGGGTTGCTGGCCCATTCCCCATGCTCGGTGGCTGGGCATCACCGCCCTGGAGTACAGCCGATAGAAAACGGCGGCTGCCATTTGCGCCGCCCGGTAATTCATACTTACCTGGCAGGGGACATACCATGATCAAGAAGGTGGTTCACCCAGGTCGAGGTTTGGCCATTGCACTCCGGCCATGCTGACCCCTGCGAATTCCTCAAATGTGGGAATCTCGACTGCATAATTTCTGGTAGTGGGGGACTGCGTTCGCGCTCTCCCCTGAGTACAGTGGTTCAAGACAGAGTTCAGGCGATAACGTCGGGCCCGGCTGGAGCGGCGCTTCCCTCTCTTCCTCATCCTTTGCCAAGCCTCTTATGCTCCAGTAGAGCTGCGCGCGCCTGTGGAAGGCCTGCCCACCCGTCGCTAGAAGAGTCTGTTCTGACGCCGAAAACTACTCGAAAGATCCCCCCTCAAAGCGGTTTGACCAGGTGAAGGAACACACAAAGAGAGCCCCCGGTGGCTTTTGTCCGCCAAGCGAGTGTGCCCTGTGGAATGTCAGGATTTTATTTGCCGGCCTGCCACTGTTACTGACGGAACGAATGCAGACCGTGTAGAAGGTCATCATTTTATCTGCCATTAAGTAAGCGAATGCTTCTGCTCGGATCAGAGGTAACTTTGTTTCAAGAACTGCAATCTTTTGCAGACGTCTGTGGTTTAAGGTTTGCAGGGAATTTTTTCGTCAAATCCTCGTACAACGTCAAGTCATGACATTTGACAGATCCACGCCCTAGTATCATGGGTCATCCAGTGAGCAGAGAGCCATAAAACAAGGATAAAACAAGGCGTACGCGTTGGTCAATCGAGCGGACAAAGCCAACTCAGCGTGACAAGCTCCCTGCAGGTATTAGGGCCAATTTACAATCCGGGCCCGACACAGCTGTGCAGGTCCTTGCGAAATGTCCCCTTTCGTCACATTTGAAGCACCTGAATTCTGGGCGTTCCTTCATCACATTTTCTGAGCTCATGCATAGTCGACAGGTTTTTACCTGATTGGTGTGCATGACTCTAAAGTGCTGTGGCGCTTCCGCCGTCTCGATTTTGGTACTGTATGGTAAGGAGACCATC